CATGTGGTGCTGGGGGACTGAACCGCGGTCCCTGTGCTTTGCTAAGCTTGTTCTAAGTAGGTGCTTTAGACCACTGAGCCATCTCACCAGCCCAAAGAGTCGGGACGGGGGCGCGAACCGGCGACCTCGTACTCCGTGGCCCGGCGCCCAGACCACCGCGCCAGGTCGCCGCCTGGAAGTTCTTAATAGGGGGAAGTTTTTTACTGCACAGTGCAGCCTGGTTTGTTCACAGAACCATGATCCTGTGGACATTAGGAACAATGGAGCACAATGTCACAATTTTTCCAGCTATTCCTTTTCAGTGTTCTTATTTTGAGAAGTGCATGAAATGTCAATAAGTTGTTGAAAGAAGAAAATATACCCTTCTAGATCAGTATGACATCAGTGAAGATTAGATTTGATTACAGTCAAAGATGTTGCTATGGTTACAGATTCTGATGGACTTTTCTGTAGTCTTGACAGTTTCTAGTGTTGATATACGGTATGTAGGCTTTCATCTTGAGCAGTCTCCATAGCTGGCAAAATACTCTTAATGTTACTCTTAAGAAATTATCTTAATTGTAGATTTAATTGCTATAAGCCTTAGTACTTTTCCTCCTTGACTATAACACTGTGATGTACTAGTTGTGAAAAATAGAAAATACAGAATAAAATTGTAATTCAACCATACAGAGAAAACAGCAAATGTTTTAGAGAGGTAGACAGACAGACAGAGTGACAGAGTTGGCTCTCCATTCTACATCTGTGGACTCAAGAAACCACAGATTGAACATATTCTCCAAGAAAAATTATACGTATACTGAACATGTACAGACTCTTTTTTGGGGGAGATCTTTCCCAACAAATAGTACAAGAACTATTTCCATAACATTTACATTGTATTTTTTTTTTTTTCTTTTTGATACCAGGAATTGAACTCAGAGCCTTATATTTGCCAGGTGTCCCTGTGCTGTTGAACTACATTCCTGGCTCTGTATTTAGGTATTTTGAGTAATCTAGAGATTACTTAAACTATAGTAGATGTACTGTAGGCTTTATGCAAATACTATGCTATTTCGTATAATGGACTCGAGCATCTGCAGGTTTTACTATGGGAATCCTAGAACCAGGGCTGGGGAGATGGCTCAGTGGAATAAGCGTTTCCCTGGCAAGCACAAGGGCCTGAGTTCAGTCTCCAGTTCTGCAAAAAAAAAAA